TATAGAAGGCAAGGAAAAGCTGGCATGATTCACGTTTCCTTGGAGATAGAGTGGTCTTACAGTGTCTGAAAGAAACAGCAGTGAGAACACTCCTCCTTGAAATTGTCCTTGGACCCAGAAGACAGTTAATAACTTTAAGTTTATAACATGTTGCTTTTTTGAGCAAATACTTGAACAGGTGAAAGACAACCAGCTCCAGGCACTCTTAATCTGGAACCATGTCATCTGGAATTCAGGATACAGAAAAAGCTGTGATGGCTCTGTATAATCTCCTGTATCAGAGAAGAGACAAGGAGAGTGATCCTGTTGATATTCCTTGATCTTTTAATCATTTTTGATAACATCAATGATGGCATCATTCCAGGATTGAGCTGGAAATGGTTTCACTCTTACTAAGATAGTTGTTCCAGAAAGCTGGTAAAAGAGCTGTTACTTGAAGCTCAAATGGCTTCAGTGGCACAGTGTGTCTTTTACCAGCTTGAACTTGTTGCCTATTTACCTCCTCCACACCCACTCACACACAGAGACCACCAATGTAGACAGAATTAACCTGAAATCAGCAGTCTATGCTCTGGTATCTGGTTGGATTACAGTAATCTGGTTGGATTACTGTAATATGTAATATGTGAAGCTGCCCTTGAAGACAGTTTGGAAGTTACTTGTGCACAATGTGGCAGCCAAATTCAAAGCAAAAGTCAATAAGGCTTAGGACATAATACCAATTCTGGCCCACTTCCACTGGCTTCCTGTATATTTCTAAGCCCAACTAAAGGGTTTAACCATGGGTTAGGACCACAATACCTCTCCCAATCTCAAGTTAGTTGGGCATTACAGTCAACATCTAAGCTCTTTCTCTGAGTGCTTCTTCTGTCAGGGGCTTGGAAGATGGCAAGAAAGGAGAGAGCCTTCTTATAGGGGTTCCTCAATTATGGAATGTTCTGCCCATCTCCAAGGTCTGCCAAGGTGCAACAGTGCCATCATTTTAAGACTATCCTCTATTCCTAGGCATTTGATGACATATGATGGGGCATTTATATTGGTTGTTTTTATCATATCCATTATATTACTGTAACTGCTTGTAGCTGTTTTGACTTTGTTTTGTTTAAAGTTTTGTATGTCAAATATTTTAAATTTTTATAAACTTGTACTGTGGTGTGCATTTCTGTGAACCTCCAGAGATGATGATGATATTAATAATAATAATAATAATAATAATAATAATAATAAACCAATCCTATTTTGCTTATTTAATTTTGCAGGAACAGAAAGGCCATCCAGTGTAAGGTAGGATTCTCCATGTAACCCAACCCAACCCAACCTCAAAGTCAGCTCACACAGCTTACAGCCCAGAAGAAAGTGAACCACGTTATGGTGCCTAAAATGGCATCAACTAATGTTTGTAAATCAGTGCAGCTATGTACTTCAGCAAGACGCAAATACAAAATAACTAATGGCCTGTTAAGAGGAAAATTTAGTAGCATCAGATATCAAATGGTTAGTCAGATCAAGACTATGAGTAAAATTCATTAATAATGCTCCCTTAAGTAGTTCTATTAACTCAGGTGAGATGGACTTACAGCTTAACAGTGTCACTGAAAGAATAGTGGAAGGGTCCAAGAAGGCCACTGGGTTCCACCCCTTGCTGTGGCAGGTCACCAATTTATACCAACCCAATCAGTAGATTGTAGAATCCTGATCTGGATGCTAAGATATGTGCGAGCATAAAAGGAAGTCAGGAAAAATTTGGAGTCAAATTGAGGAATAAAATTTAAATTATTTTCATACAAAAAACCGCTGCAAATAATGATTTTTGATTCAATTTTTTAGAGTTTATTTTGGTGGGATGTTCTACATTTGACAAAGAACAGTCAATAAAAAGGACAGAACAAAGGAAAATTATCCAAATGAGCAACTGTCTTTATGATAGGAGGCTCTACAAATTAATTTACGGAGCCCTGAAATAGTCATTTCTGGAGCCTACAGCCCTAAAACTAATTTACCCCAAGTTGTTTAGAAAGTGGGGCTGGGGAGCAAACTTCCCTAAAATCTGGCTGATGATGCTGACTGCCCAGGCTCTGGAAGGATTCAAGTCGGCTGCCAGGCTTTCACAATGTCCATGTCCCCACCTCTCTCACACACAGCTCAGTTACTGTTCACTATTGTTACCTACACAGGAGTCTGTGGCTTGGTTCCACATTCAATTCTCAGTTTATATTCTTGAGTCCTGGCTCTGCAGTGTGATACAGATGCAGTGCTGTGATAGTCTTGTGTGCTGACAGGGGTCAACTATAATAAGCAAAGTTCATTGGCTCCAGCTTATAAGGCATCATTGAAATCTAAATACTATTCACCTAAGTATTTTTGATGTTTACACAATTTCAGGCTTAATATTTTTGAGAAAAAATATTGCCAATGTCATTTTTTTCACATAACAGCATTCACATTGCATAGAACACTCTTATTCTGTGGAACACAGTTTCAGTAACACTATTTTAAGACTTCACTCATGAAATTCAGCCTGCAAAACCTCCCACTCTATCTTCTGTTACCACCTTTCTGAATCTTAGTAAACAAAGTAATCTGGGGGCAAATTGCATATATTTTAAGAATTAGAACAAAAATTAAATGGTGTAACTACTGCACAATGCAGAAATATATTCTAAGTTTCAGGTCTGCCAATAATATTCATGCATGTATATTACATGGATATTACTGAAATATATTCCTTCAGGAGATGCAGTTTGCTTGAGCATCTTGCCATTTCCTTTTTAGCATGCCGCATTTCTTCAGCTTAACAATTCTCATACCTCACAAATAAGCCTTAACTCCTTATGTTTTGGTAAATCATGCACAAATGAGGGCCATGATAAAAGGGAATATGCTGTGTGATATGAATGTCAGGCCTTCTTAACATACCTGTGAATGTATCAGCATGAATGCAAGCGACTTTCCCATCATCTCAAAAAGGTTTATTGCATCTGTTAAAATTTAATGTCCTATTTCTGTCACCTGCCTTATTGTTTTAAAATTCACTATGGACTTATCAGTGTATTCACTACAGGTAGAATAACAAGGCTGGAAGATGAGGGAAGCATTTTTATGGCATCCAAAGTAAAAGTTTTTCATTTCCACCTAAGTAACATTTTGTGTGGTTTGATGCTTGGCTTTTCTTCTCATATAAGTTCTTCTGCCAGCTGCACATTAGTATTTCCTTAGTTTGAATACTAACTTTTAAATGACACAACTGTTTTTTGCCCATGTGCTTATAACAGTTTTATCTGTACTACTGTAAGGAGGATCTGTATGGAAACATATGATGTGGGTGAGTTAATAAATGACAAAGTGTAAGAAATCATTACTATTGTTGATGCTGTGTTTTGTACATTAAGCAGTGTAATTATTTCAGCTCCTCAGGTTACTTACCAGATATTTCAGAGTTAAAATTAGGACTATGGCTAAAGCTAGATGTGTATTCTAGAAACATCTTTGAACATCTTGAGACAGTGATTGGCAAGTGATTGGCACATCACCATATGCTTAACAAATTACAAAAGCTGTCATAACAGCAACATATTTTGCAAGGGTATTTGCTTATTCCTGCACATGCTAGCTCATTGTCAGGTACACCCAAGGATGAGGATTTAGTAGCATGTAGATGAGCATCTCGAATGAAACTTCAGACTTGCTTGGTCTCTATCTCCTATGCAGGAAGACTTAACTGAGTTTCAGGTTCTGTTTCTACAAATCCTGGCTTAAACTAATGAATAAGCTAGGAACTATGGTTTAAAATAACCCTTATTTTGGTAAGCATGACAAGCCATGGTTTATAGTTGGCTTGTTCAGCAACTGACTAGAGTTTGTTTTAAACCATGTTTCTTTGTGTGCACATGATGGCAAACCACAGGCAGAAGAATCTGGAACCTGGTTAAGTCCTTCTGAATGGAAAAGGAGATCAGAGCATATGCTGCACAGCAAAGCTCACATGTGTGATGTACAGACACCACAATGAAGAACTTCTCCAGTGTTGTAAGTGCGCGTCCTATCACAATTCAGGTGTGGTCATGAGAGGCTCCCAGCGCTGCTTGTACTGATGATGCAGATTCTGATGATGAGACCTTTTTTGAAATGGTCCAGACTCCAGTCGTCCTGAGACTCAACAAGATTTAGCTGTGGGGAAAGATTAGCCCAAGTGCAGATGGGGCCCTCAGTTGACTCGGCTGTACGAACATGGAGGAATTACAGCCTGAAGGAGGGGATACTGAAATAGGTAGCCTTATTCATGCAAAACTCCCATCCCCTGAAGCGGTAGACCTGGTCATTCTCCATCATCATTGGCGAGAAGCCCATTTAGGGATGCAACAGAAGGAGCAGAAGCATGCCTGTTTTCACAATGCCCCTCCACTGGGAGTGAGACATAGATGGGTTCATAAAGAAAGCTTTGGAAAATGAACAATAGAAAGGGTGCAACACTTCACTTCATCTATGCACAGAAACTCTCATGTAACAATAAACATCAATAAGCAAAGAAACGCTGGTGAGAGTGATATTGCTTGGAGGGAGAAGCACAGCTCACGACACCCAGCACTGCAGACAATGTCCTTTTAACTAGTGAGATAGGGAACTAAGACCTGGGTGTTCTTCATGCAAAGCACATGCTCTACTACTGGCCTGACATCCCTTTGGAATGTATGCCTGTATCAGGTGCTTGCTAAAGGGAACAACTGAAATTACATATACAGCAGTGCTCCATACCACTTTGGGTGTTTCCCAACACTGCACATACTTGTACACACATACACATGCCAGAAGGAAATTGTATACATTCTTAGTACATATGCACTGTGGGACTAAAAGCAAATGGGACTGACTTCAGTTCACAGACAGATATAGCCAAGACTGAGTGCAATGAGTGGACACTTTTTCGATTGCAGATGAAATCGCACACAATCAGGGAACAGCCTTAACTTAGCATTTCTTCTTTTTTCTTTCAATTAACTCACTGTTATAGCGTCTGTAGCTGTCAATCTTTGTTGGTGCCACTTTATACAGAATTGTCCCTTGAAAGGCAGACTTTCCTGACAGCAGAATGAGAAAAAGGAAAGCAAAACAAAAAAGAGGGGATAGGAGAATCGAATATTGGCAAAAGAAAGGAAAGGAATAGTATTTAATTGTTGCTTCATGTTCAAAGTTTCATAAGCAAAGAGCAAGATTCAATAGCCTACACCTTCATGGTATACATTTCAAACAGGAAGAATGTGATTTTTCTTAAGGATTATGTTGTAAAATAATTCATCAAGTGTACCATTTCTGATTGTCTCTAATGGCCAATCAAGGGAAATCTTAATTATATAGCTGTGAATAAAAAGGAAAAGTAAGTTTTCATTTACCTATTTCTTTTTGTATATGACACAATGACCTAGTTTTCGCAGCACATAATACAGTAGGTTGAAGAATGTATGGGCTGCTGAGGATAAGTGGGAAGGAGCAGATATGCTGCTTTCTCAGCAATTGACCTATGGTTTGTTGCTCAGTTGTTTTTTAGTCATAAGCTTGTTTATGTTAGATAGATACTAAAATGCTCTGCCAAAGAGCATGGTGTTGTATTTCAGGCTTTCATCTGGAAGTCTTGAAGTGGTCCCTAAACCAGGCAAGAGGTCCACCCTTCTCCTCTTGAGTGCCCTATTTGCATAAATTGTGGGATTCTTAGTCTACTCACCATGCTGACTTTCCAAATACCAGGATTATAGTGGGAGGGATAGAGGGTGCATTACTCTGCATCAAGGAATTATTTTACTAAGTCCTTCAGATATACATAGATCTCCTGCAGCTATCTGATCTTGCCATTTACTTGCACCAGACACATATTTTGAAGTCAAGTCAGGAAAAGATGAAAGCTTATCTAGTGTTCTGGCTAAGGGACTGTGCTGAAAGAGAAAGGGCCTGGTTAGTGCTCACTTTCTGCTAGGAATTCATTGGGTAGCTGTAAGCAAGCTTTAGTCACTTATTATAAGTCTTACAATTAAATAATGATATGAAGATCCTTAAAGTTTTGTAAGTTCTGTAAAAAAGTTAAATAGCATAACATTTCTTAAATATGAAGTTATCATGTGGCAGGTGTTGAAAGAACCAATGAAAAAGTGCCATGTATGGCATATAAATTCACTGAGCAGCTGACAACCATCTTACTATGAGTCCATTCTACCTTGCAGGCAGACATGGCTTCTATATGGCCTTAAGTGCCTTATCCTGCCTAATTTTGGAAGCTGAGCAGGATTGGACATGGTTGAAATCTGAAGGGGTGACTTAAAATGTTGTGAATAACCCATTCAGTTTTGGCTATGGGTAGTACAGAAATGTAATAATAATAATGCAGGCAGCGTAATCCTTAACAGAAAAAGAAGAAAGCAAGACCATTTGTTCACCTGCTGCTGTACTAAAGGTAAATTGGGAGCTGCCAGCTGAAGTTGGAGCTAAATGTTTTTAACAGCAGCCACATCCTGCCTGTAACATCTAGAACAACTTGCACATGTCCTGGTTGCACAGTTCAAGACAAAGAGGCAGACTGGAGCAGTAAACCACAATGTCATGTCAACAGGACAGGGGTAAGCTGCATCAGCTGTTGAACAGGATAAGTACTTATTATTTTCAAAAGTCATGCATCTTTAGTTTACTGTTCTGTTTCCACTCAAGGTAATCCTTAAGAAGGCTTAAACTATTGTACTTTAGGCCAAAGTAATACCTTAAAAACACAGATGTATGTTTCTCTTGCAATGTCCAAAATGTCCATTAACATTATAAACCACACTGTAATTATTGTGCAATGCACTGAGGTAATATTATTCTGTCATATAAAAATATATAGAAGCAATCAAAACCTGACTATCTTTGTTGTAATAATAATGGAATGAGGATACATGCCCACCTTAAAACGAGGCCTACAAATTTGTCTTCTCAATAAAACTGAAAACTCAATACATAAGATCAGAGGGAGAGGTATTTATAATATGGGAGCAGCATATTATAAACATCTGAATAAACTTAGAATTGCAACATGTAACAACAACCACAACAAAACTGTGTGAGAATGCAAATCCATAAAGCTGGACAAATTCAGTTGCAAAATAAAATCTAAAATAATAATCTAGTACCTAAAACCATAATTTTAATGGCCTTAAATATAGTATATTACATGCATTACTTCTGGAAAATAGCTAGCAGGGCTACTCGCCTGCATTGGTTCTTCTGCACTGATGGGGACCAACAACTTCTGTATTAGGGCTTTTGTGACTGTAAACATAACAACAAGTGGAAGCAGTTGTTTCTAGATGAAATCAAGAGAGTTCCCTTCTGTCAGATTCATTGACTTGCCCCATTCTGGAAATGAGTTTGGGGTTAGCTTTACAGCCACAGAAGCCTCTGCATGAGCAGTGGGTCCAGTGCAGGACAGTAGCACCAGAGGACCACTTACAGTGTATAAAGCAGGATTTTGAGGGAGAAAGCAGCAAGCATAAAACTTTCTATACATAGTTGGCATTTAGCGGAGTACTGACATTAAGAGATAAGCCCAGTGACACTAAGAAAAATAGATTCGAGGACCATTTTATATCCTTATAGAAATATTTCATTATTATATTTATACCCCACCTTTCTTCCTCTTGCAAGGAACCCACAGTCACTTACAAGGCTCCCTTCATTTCTTCCACACAACACCTATGAAGTATCTGTGATTAGTAAAAAGTTACCAGTAAGTGTCATGGCTGAGTGGGGACTAGAACCCAGATCTTCCAAGTTTCCATTTCAATGCTCTGACTGACAGACCACACCGCCTCTCAATGCAAAGCAAACTTTCTGAGGAAAACACTGCCAATACCCATGCACTGGGAGTTATTTCCCAAACACACAGAGACTTTAGATTATAGGTGAGAAGTCCTTATGTAATTAAAGTAGAATCTTATTTTTCTATTTGTAATCTGCCCAGAGAACATTAGCTATTGGGATAATTAAACAAGAAAGGAAGGAAGGAAGGAAGGACGGAAGGAGGAAGGTTTATTTTGATTTCTGGAATTGTAAAAACCAAACTGTTTATAAACCTTATTTTACTGTATATTTTATATATTATAGTTGTATTTCAATATGCTGTTACACTCTGATTGTAAGACATCTTTAGATCCGCTGCAACAAAGATGGTGATAGAAATGTTTTAATTAATTATTTTTTAAAAATTGAATAAATGTAGAACCACTGCAAGTATAACACCTTCTGAACAGTAATCACAGCTACAGTGATCAAGAGTACACCAAACTTCATTAATTAGCTTTTAGGAGGTTCTGGTAGTCAGAGATAATGGGATATCATGGTTAAAAGATATAAGGCAATTAGAGCAGAAGGAAGGAATCACAGAATCATACAATCTGCTTTCAATTTCTAAACCACAGTGGACATTACATCAGTAATTCTTCACACTGTTTATTCTACAGTGACATCGTGATTTAAAACAAAAACAAAATCTCTAAATCTAAAATAAAGTGAGGCAGAGAATGTTTGCATCCTTACTTGGTTTTATAAGTTGCTCCTCCTGGACAGTTCTTGCATCATCAGAATCAGAGAGCTCCTTTATGAAATTTGAAGGGAACATGCCAGTCTTTCCATTTAGAACTCCTTCCCACCAACCTTCTTCTACCTGTGCCAAGAGAAGAAACAAACATATTAATCTTCTCAAGTTTAAGCCTACATGTGACGACTGTTTAGAATAATTTCAGTTTCATTCACATATGTAAACCTCCCTGGGCTTTTGATTCATAACAACTGATGATCATATCCTTCTATCCTACCTGTGATTTAGTGCAATGACTCAGTTCCCTTTTAATTTGTGATCAAATTCAAGAGAAGCATTCTGCTCCCTAAGTTTATGCCTACATTTTGGATTGAATGAAATCAGAAGACTGAACCTCAATCCAGATGAGACAAAGGCACAAGCCTTCCAATATTGGGAGAAAAGCATAGCTCCTGGATGCTCCAACAGCACAGCACTCCTCTAAAAGAACAGGAGTGCAATTTGGCAGAGCTCCTGAATCCTGCATTGTTCCTGAAATTCCAAGTAAAAGTAGAGTCTGTATGTATTTTTGATAGTTTCTGTTAATCAGCTAGCTGCAACTCATCCTGTCTGACCTATATCTGTCATTCATATATTGCTAACCTGTCATTTTGATTACTGGGCTGTATTCACCATGGTGCTGCTGACAAAAGATAACCTGGAAATATCAGACAGTGGATACTTATTAAGAACACGTATCATAGGGAATGTATTATTCCTAATGTGCCATAGCAGAAGAACCTTCTTCCCAGGCTGAATTTCAGATCTAGTTATTACTATGAAAGCTCTAATGGTCCAGGCTGCTTTATAAAATCCTTTACCTAAGCATGTGATCAAAACTTTTGATCAGTTTTTTCAGAGTGCTGTGGTGCTTGTGTTATTGAAATTGTGTTTTGATAGTTTATTGTTTAATTATTGTTTTACTGATTTTGGTATTTGTATATAAATATTTTGATCCAGAATTTTCTCCCCAGTGATTTTATAAAATATTAAAAGGCTTGCAAAGCAGTGGCTGGGATTCCACAGATGGAATATTAGGCCTGGATCTGGGATTTTATGTTCAATTTCTGGCATTTAGACACCTGTTACTTTGGTTAAGTCACACATTCTAAGCTTCAGTTCTGCATATTTAAAATGACAACAATAGCCTACGTGGAGGATTGTTGTGAGAGAAAGCAGAGTGAAGCACTTTGCAAATTATAAGCATGATATCAAAAGACAGCGAATAAGAATTAATTCTATAGCAAATGCATCACAAAAGAACCTTCTGAATCTTGAATGCATTATAATTAGTTCATTTTCTATGAGAAACTGAAATGTTTTTGAGCCTGAATGCAAGTTTTGTCAAAGGTTCAACAGAACAAGTAAATATGGCTATGTCACTATGATCACAATAATGTTTGACTTTCTACTTTTACTCTACAAATTATACCACCATACTTGAATATGTTAAACTGAGCACATTGTACTAGAAAATAAATGCATCATGTAAAATGATTACACGCCTCCTATGCAAATCTATTCCCTATGGAATGGCAGTATCCTGCCAGGAAATGACATCTCCTAAATACTAAGTGCCCTTGGGTTATAATGTGACAGCAAGGAATGACTTGTTTTTTGTATCAGCTAAGGATAGCTTTGACATTTTAATAATGTCCATCCATCAGACATTGTCCATCCACAGAAAAGTGACAGAAGAGGACAGTTTCAGTATGTGAATTATCAGTCTCTAACATAGGTCTTTTTGCCTTGTTGCTGAGATAAATAGATAAACTGAAATCCTTTTTTTAGAAAAACTGTAGAAAATGAACAAAAATATTTTCGTTTGTATAGAACAAAAATATTTTTAACACACTGAATTTGAATATTTTCCATTTGATATGAATTTAAAAGAACACTGGAAATCCCTTAATTATTATTTATGTTTTGAATTATGATCAGTTATTTAAATTCTTAAATCGAAGAAATGTTGAAGCCAACTACTGAGCAATTATTTGTAAAATAATCAGGGTTTCATAGACCTGTTTTTACTTCTGGTTTAAAGATTAGAGTCCCCAGTTTGGATGGAAAACAAGTTAGAGGGAAAATTCACACACCCTCTAACTAAGCCAACCCTGAGAATAAACCACTACAATTTGGTTTTATTTATTTGTTTGTTTGTTTATTTATAGCCTGCCTTTTTCCTACAAAGGGCTCAAGGCAGCTTACATCATTCTCCTCCTCCATCTTATCCCCACAACAACCCTGTGAGGTAGGTTGGGCTGAGAGTCTGTGACTGGCAACTCTGCAGCTTCTCATGGCTTCTTTCCCTCCAGCATGGTGGCAGAACTCCTTATTTTCTTGGTTCTTACATCACCAATATCCTCATGGAGTCTCTACAACTCTTCCAGCAATTGATATATTGGAAAAGTTGGCTACTAAGGGAAAGTGCCCTCCCCTCATCAGATTGCCATGGAATTAATTTTTGGAGTTCTTATGAACACATTAATGTGTTCACAATTTTTTCAAAAGGCTGCTTCATCTACTCCTGAAAGTAAGTAAACCCACCCTTCTCCTGCATCTGAAGCCACTTTTTGCTTTCTACCCACTTCATATTTCCCCCAAGTTTCTGTTGTTAAGTACGAGATACAAGTTACAGAGCAGTGAGGTAAACTGGCAAACACAGACACATTTTAAGATGGAGCAGGGAAATAAGGTTATGTACATTCCAAAGCAAAAATTAAGGCAGGTTTATAAAGAGTTAAGGTTCGTGTCACATTACATTACCTTTATATCATGCCTTTTTCTCTTCAGAGGGGAACCCAAGCTGCTTTACACTGTCCCCCTCCATCTCCATTTTATCCTTGCAACTACCGTATGATGTAGTTTAGGGTGAGAGTCAGTGACTGGTCCAAAGTCACCCAGTGAGCTTCATGTTCAAGTGGGGACAAGAATTCAGATCTCCTGAGCCCCAGTCCAACACTCTAACTACTACACCTCACTGCAAATTTCAAGGCATAATGATAAAGCTGCCGGGGGGAATTATTTAAATTTCATGGCAGAGCAAGGATGCTAAAAATATCCAAATTTCCTAGCAGAGCAATAAACGTGAGAGCAACATTACCCAAATTGCATGGCAGAGCAGTGAAGCAGATAGTTGAGAATACTTAGTTTCATGGTGGAATAGTAAAGCTTAGGGGGAAATTGCACAGATTGTATAGTAGTGATTTCTTTTTGGTCTCTGTTCACTTAAGCAAGATTAAAGGCAAAAAATACCATTCTGCACCATATGCAGACTCATTCATTTTTCTCATTGTACAAGGCTATTTGCTTGATATTACATTATTTAACTCAGTTAAATAACCCATGACAAGTCATGGTATGTCACCGAAATCTGGTCACTGTGTCACAACTCTTAAAATACCTTCACTGACTTCCTGTGTCCAGGGAGGAAGTCATGACTTCCTGTTTGTCTTTATTTTCAAATCCTCCCATAGGTTTCCCATCCCATGTTAGTTTGCTCCCTTAGCTGCAGCATTCTTGGACTGTTATTTCTATTTTCTATTTATTGCAAGTCTCCTTAAATGAGCCCCTTGCGCCTTTACAGCTGAAACTTTCCCAGAAAATCCATGTAATGCCACCTGTCTCTTCCTCTAAATCCTTTCTTAAAGTCCACCTTTGTGTGAATCTTTTGGCTTCATCCCAAGTCCTCAATCCATCTTGAAATCAAGCCTAAATGTGTACTAACTGAACTGAAAACATATTTCTCTCCACTATCTTTCTCTGTAGTCTCTTGCTGAATTAATTGTATATTTTAAGTTTTTTAGAAAGAGATATTTTTATTTGCTACTATCTGGAATGCCATACATATTGACAATGTTTTATAAATTCTACTAATACATATAGATAAGACATGTGTTCACAACTATAATGAAATGCTCTGCAGGATATAAGGATGCAGATTATAATGCACTGCCAACTGTATACAAAACTGACTGAGATTTAGTACTCCCAAACTGAGCTAATCCTTCTGCCCGTTTGAGATGGTGCAATTAATTTAAGCCAGTAAAAGCTGACAAATGAAAATGCATTATTCATGATAGCAGCCTGTCTCCAGATACGCATAGAAAGTAAAATTCATCAATAAATAAAGCAATATCAGAAATTGTCAAGCATTGGAACGAAATGTCAAGCACTGGAAAAATGTCTGCCTTCAGATGAACAGAAGAAATAATGCAGATTATCAAGAAAAGTAATACTTGCTTTAATCTTTATGCTTCTGAGTCTTTATTTTTGCTCAATGAGAATTTCATTCAATTTACTGCTTTTTAAATAAAGCAGCCATAGCATTAGCTATATCTGTCTATGCATAGGTTACTGCTAGAAGCATTGTGGACTTTTATCCACAATACAGTCCAACCACCGTCTTCTTGAATATCAAGAACATGACAGGGGGGAAAATCAGTCTTACTTGTGCACTGGCTTACTCTATACTGGAGGGCAGACTAGTATCATGTGGCAGAGTTCCTGTTTTAAGAAGAAAAAATATACATATTGATTGACCTATGGTATACTGCATTTAAATGATCTTTGACAATGTATCTTAATTTGCACACCTCTGCCAGTTAGTCACTAGGGCTCAAGTACCTTTACATTAGCCCCAGAGTAAATATATTCAAGTAGTAAATGTAAGGGCTTGAGTCAGGCCTGGAAGTCATCCAAATTATCATGATAAGAGAGCCGACAAGATGCTGGATTCAGTCTGCTGCTGCAAATTCTACATGAGGAAGGGCCTGATAAACTCAAGAGAACCATATCCCCTGCCCCTGCCCACTTTATGTCTGCTCTGGTGCACAGTAAGTGTGGGAGTGAATTATGGTGAGTCAAATGTACATGTGTAGTTTCCATATCCATAACTAATCCACTCAGTTCACATTACATATAAACTGAAGCCTAACTCACATCATGAGAAAAGGGAAGGTTGATAGATTATTTGACATGTGCACAATTTTCCCATTGATCTGAGTGGCCTCTCTCACATGTGTTCAGGCAGTGAGAGGAGGAAAAGACTTTGCTGAACCCTGTTTGGCTCCCCTTTATGTCTGCACTGAACCTACAATGGATCGAATAGTGTTTTAAGGACAGAAGGACCATGAATCCTGCAAAGCTTGAGGGCACTACTTACTTCTCCCACAACCTCAATGATGTCTCCAACTTTTAATTCCAGTTCATCTTCATTCTGAGGCATGTAACTGAAAGCCACCTGACATCTTCTCCGCCGATTTCGCTCACCTAAGTAAAAATAACAATTATTAGGACATTTATGTTCCATGAAGCTATCTTAATTTTCTAAACACACATTTAGAGAAGAACAGATCATCACAATATATATTTTGAGTGGCTAAAGAACTTTAGTAAATGAATTTTAAAACCTCTGTGAAAGCAAACAGTTATGAAAAACATTTATACTATACTTTTCCACCTCAATGAAGCACTCATGGTGGTAAACATAAATAAAAGACAAATTGCCACATTAAAGACATAGAACAAACCTTTAATTTGTATTCTCGATTTTTCCATGTCATATTCTTTCTCCCGGCACCTCAATTTTAAACCAGTATTAATCTGTTACCTGCATCATGGACTACCAAAGCAATGTATGATGATGATTAGCTAACTGGTTGTCTATCATTAACAGCATTAAATGGAGCAATTTTTGCTAACAATACAAACATGCAGTTAAATTTAGTTTAATTAAGAATTTTCTAAAGAATCTTTTCTCAACTCCACTGTCTATTAGCTAGAATGGAAAATCAGTGTTTTATCTCTAGTACATGATGTTTCTAACTAGTTTTGCTGCTACTCCCTATAAAAAAAAGTATTTGCTAATACGAATTGTAGCTGCTTTAATCAGAAATGAATGTCACAGATTTCAGTAATGCTTGTAATGAGTTTTCACAAATTTCAGTAATTTTTTTTTCAGGATGCCCAGTATTACCTACAGTAGAAAAAACGAAGAGCTACATCTTCCTTTACTGTTGAATTGCAGCTTTTGATTTTCATTCCACAAATTGCATTTTGACATAAAAATAAATGCACAGGTCAATTATAAAGGGCTAAGAAGCAATGTTCTCTAAATCATTCTTCAGATTTTCTAAATTATGTGGAGATGGCAAGGAAAATCATTTTGACATTTTAGCAATAGTCTTAGTACTTTCCCAGGGTTCTTTTTAATTGAAAATAAATTATTCTCAAGAAAGATGAGTTAGTCTTTAACATATTTGCAGCAAGATTAATATTAACTAAGTTATGAGCTCTGAAGATGCCATTGATAGAAAAAGCCTGCTAGACTGTTGGATACAGTTATTAATTTCCTGAGCTCGTACTCAGTGGCTCTTGTTGCCAAGTCAATAATCAAGACTGTCAGATGGCACTGCTGATCACATGTGTGCACATGTCTTGCGGGCACATACAACACTGCCTTGGATATGCCATATGACACTGGAAATGGGTGTATTCTCCATATACCACATGATCCCACCTAGAACAGTAACACACAAGTGGAGGCCTACCTCTTAATACAGTTTTCTAATGCACAAATAACCTTTTTGCAGCCAAGAACAGCAAAATTAATATATCCAGGCAGTCTCCAGAGCTAGTCTAATTTAAATCCCATTTGTTTCAATGGGTCTAATTGAAGTAGGCCTGGCACCAGATACAACCCATTTGGCTTTATTATTTAAATCGCTAACATACAGCAGAAAAATTAAGTAAATCTAAAATATCTCTGATAGTCTTCATTCTGACCCAATATATTCCTTTCAAAACTCAAGAGTATTGGCAGCCTACTGAACGTTTGCCACCTGAAAGAGAAAACTCCTGCAACTTGACAGATATATCACTGATTTTATAAATGTTAATCCCTTAATCTAAAATCATTTAACCAATCCACTGTGGTTTCAGCTCAAACTCTCAGCGTTCCCAGGGCTTTTGTTGCGGGGATAAAACAAAGAAGAAACCCTTGTAAGCCACCTTGGGTTTCTTGCAAGAGGGATAAAGGAGGGCTATACATACACTATAGTATTATAAGAATAAGAAGACTGCATTAATTTTTATTCAGCCTTTGCTAGAATAAGACATTCTCTGTACTTTACTAAACTAAGATGTTTTTAGTTTCTTTCTTATCCTGTATGAGCGAGCAAATTTCTCCTCAGCTAGAAGCTTGTAGGTCACACACATGCAGACTCTAATTGCCATCCAATCCATGACATTCCTGAAGGAGTGCTCAGAATCAAACTGCAGTGGCACAGGTCAGCTCAGCATGTCCATTTACACAGCTATGCATCCTGAAGACAAACCCACCAGGAAGACGCCTCAATTGCACTTATCCTGTTAAAAGATTTATTATTACTTCTTGCCTACAATGGAGCAATTACTATAATCAAAAGTAACCCTGCCATACAAAAGGGGCATTTTATATACTACTTAGTAATTTGATGGTTAGCCCAACCTTTCGTACTGTGTAGCAAGCCACAAGCCTTGGGAACAAAATGGTAAGTCCAGGAATGAAAAATACTGGACTGCAGAGGTTAGGAATTAGGCCAGTATTAGCCTGTCATTCTTGCATGGTTCTTCAGTAAACTTCTGGGCTACAGAAAATACCAGCCCTCTGCAATATTGTAAGAGTAGAAATTGATCATTTCTCCGCAATATAAATGGCGTGTATAGGAGGGTCCTTGATCTGGTCCACCATGGCAGTGGAAGGCAAGGGGATAAAGTCCACTCCTAGCCATGGCCATATTCCATGCGTTGGACTCCCATTCCAGGCTGAGTTCCCTGAGTTTATTCTAATGTACAGAAGCAAAAACAACTATATTTTTGAAGTAATTCCTAGTCTGACTCCCCTGGTGTGGTGACTCATTTTGTAAACTGTTGTGAATGGTTTGTTCAGAGAGCTTTGGCTATTGGACAAAATATAACTGTAAAACATAAATAATATGCTAGAGGAATGTATGGCTAAAGATGACTCTTCTGTGGTCCAACCTTTGAGAACAAAGGTAGGCCTAATGCAGAAGAGGTCACAGTATAAATTCTGCCTTTACATGTATCATTCATGCTACCTCACTCCATATGAAGACAAATGCTTTCTCTGAGTTCCATGATATATTTTCTTTGTTACAGACAACAACAACAACGTAGATACATGTTTCATCCTCTCACAATGATAACAAGAAAAGAAATGTGTTTATTTGGAACTAAGAAGTGGGAGCAACAGAACATATCTAATTTCTAATATGAACAGTAGAAGACATTTTATAGACTAATTTTATTAGTCCTGTTATTTATTTTTATTTTAAAATGCTATACTATATATTTATACTTTGTATAAATGTAAAATGTTTGTAAATTTGTAAAATGTTGTATTTTGGCAAACAATACTTAGCACTTTTCTAGTATCCTAAAATATACAAGAAAAATCAAAACATATTTAAGGAAAACTTTTCAAGATATGCAGTCTAATTCTATTCTTTCGTGCTATGCCAGTAGTCTCCTTGGAAACTAGATTTGTCACTAAAAACTGCATGCAGCTAGAAGAGTTTGAATAGCTACCAACAAGAGTTTTAAAAAACTCAAAAAACAGAACAAAGTTAAAGAGTATATAATGAAAACAGTTCTTTCATGGGCATGACAAATTTAATGAGTATTTAATGAAATATTTTATTCCTAGTAGATGTTCCTAAACATTTACACTTTCTTTCTCTGTTTTAGTTAGGAATGTAAATTTAATGAATAGATCAATCGATTCATTAGTGTGGGGCAGTTTCAGTTGGTGGAGTTTTAGTTAGGTCTTCTTTGAGAGAATGAAAAAGGAATATATTTAAAATGTGGCCTTTTTTATTTTACAGAAAACCTTCAATTATATATTTCATATCTCTACAGAAATTAATAGTCATATAAGGAACGAGGAATACCCCTTTGTAATTCCCCATTTTGCATTCTAAAGAAACTATAAAAAGCTCCCATTGTTCTTCCACGAACTCCTCCTCGTTTCAGATACATATCCCATGTAATTTTATTCAGTCCTGCAAGCCCCAGAACTAACTATACCATTTCCTCAGGCGAGGGTGCTCTTTGCTTTTCCAACATTCCTTTTTCTTGCTGCTCATGTCAGACAGAAAAGTAGTACCTCCTCATTTCTTGGCTGAATTTCTTTCAATTCTATTTATAAACAAACCCTAAGATCATCAGGGAGGTTACCTTCAAAAATTTGAAATCATTGAACATATCTAGGTTTAACAATATGTAAATGTGTTTGTTTGACTAATTAAGCTGCTTGAAGAACAATACCTGTGGAGGAATAAGTCTGATTGTATACATGCATTTTTCTGGGGAAGTCTGACAGCAGGGTCTTTCTTTCAAAAGAAAACAAAATCCCAGCTGGTGGTCAAACTTAGATGGTCATGACTGTGCCTCCACAGGAATCATGCCAGAAGCAATCCCACAGAGACGTCTGTTACACAAGCATTAGGCTCAGCTACTGTTTACATTATTAAACTTTCTAATATTCTGCCGGGAACTCTTGGAACTAGTTAAGGAAAGAGGAGTTTGCCTGCTCCATCATCTTTCTCCCAATCTTCGTTGATCTGTACAAAATCTAGGTCTTTCCCCCTTAAGGTGAGACATTTTCCCCCGGTCACTTTTGGAATCTTAATGTCTGGGTCTTCTCTCTAAATGGATGACATTAGGTGATGACCATACTAAAAGGGAGAAGACTCTGGCCAGGGCAGTACAGAACTGGAACTGGTGAGGAGGCTTGGGGACTGGTAGGGAAAAGACCTGCTGCCACTGCTGCTGCGACAGTCTTCTCCCCACCCTACCTTCCAGCTTTCACAGTCCATCAGGGATGAGTGCCTGCACCTGGCCTGGCAAGCCCAGCAGCTCTCCTCAGCATAAAAGCAGTGGCCCAGCACTGGTGAGCTGCCCCAGCAGAGCTATCTCCATAGGAGATGGTGGGGGGCCCAATTAGCTGGGTAGAGGACGATATGGTGCTGCAAGGAGGACTGGCCAGGTAACGGAAACACAGCCCAGACAGCTAAGATAAGAGCTGTGTTTCAGTCCTCCTTCCATCTGTGAGCTTGATGGTTGCCATGTCAGCTGGCCTTCGGGTCTCTAGATACTGCTTCTAAATCCCTGATCAGTGCAAAATAAAGTCTCCCTCATCCATGATGTAGCCATGGATAAGCCAGCCATTCAATGATTAGTATAACTGAAACCTGGGTGGGTGAGCAGAG